GAGAGAGAGAGAGAGAGAGAGAGATGAGAGAGATGAGAGAGAGATGAGAGAGATGAAAGAGGGAGAGAGAGAGAGAGAGAGACAGAGAGAGAGAGAGATGAGAGAGAGAGAACGAGAGAGAGAGAGAGAGAGAGAGAAGAGCTATGAAATTAACTTCTTTCCCCAGGCAGCTCGATATTTACTGGAGTAGTTAATAGTTTGGAGGAAGGCAGTACTTCAATAAATCCTAATTAGTTTCTCATTATTGGTAACATTTTCATGTCAAAAGTATATCTGTGTGTCAGCTGGGTCAACTGTATTTCTTACATACCTTCAAAGAGTTCTCAGTTATAAGTATTTTGTCTTGCCCATTTATCACTATATGGACAAAAGCATGTGGGACAGCTGACATTACACCAACAGGGACGTTAATGATTTATGAAATATGGATTTTAATTTTTATTTTTTTCACTTAAAAATTCAGTGTGTATGCCTAAAGAAAAGCTGAAAGTACATGTATAACCTAAAGAGTAGAAAATAAACAACAACATCAAACTATAATAAATTACATTAATTTTATTCTGCTTTTTTTCTAGATCTAAAGCCTTATTTGGTTCCGAACAGTTTCATCAGGTGATTTAAATTTGTTTTAATTATGCTATAAAACCTTGGTAACTGTGGTGACTCTCTGAGAAATCGAAACGAATTAGGATAGGAATTTTTGTGATGGCAGTATGCATTTTTCACAACCCTTCCCATAATTTATTTTGACCGCAATATCATAAGTCAAGCTAAATTACACATCGTGTTGCTCGGTTCACATGGACATTTTATGCCAACTTTTAAGTACTACTGGCTATCTGACATTAAAAAAATTAATCAACAAGTAACTTCTCATCACGGACTATTCAGAACGGTCTCTGTAGTAACCGTGTCAGATGCAATCCTCATCTTAATTCATTTGTTCCTTTAATTATACACATAATGTTGTAATTGTATCGCATATATATATAAATCTTGTCTATTTCAATCAGTTTGGTGTTGTCCACATCTAAAGAACATGACTGTTCCGAATTGTTAAAAAATAAATAAATAAATAATAAACTCTAAAATAATACAGTGTTTTAATTGCACTGATTTACCTGAAAATCAAGAGCGTCTGTTCTGTGTATTTTGTGTACGCTTTGGCAAAATACTAAATGAAAGATTTACCATTTTTAGAAATGATTATTAGGTGATAAATATATGCTTATAAATTGAATAGTTCTGGTCCTTGATTCTGATTGGTTGAGCTGCGTTCGAAGCTGTTGTAAATTACTCTACAAAGCAACATACAGTGAATTTACAACAGCTAAGGGGGTTTTAGGCATTTCGCGTCGTACCTAACAACGCCCCTTAGCTGTTATAAATTCACTGTAAACCACGGCTTCACGGGCTTCTTGCTTTATTTTGAATTGTTACCTGAGCCCATAAAGCACAGTGCCATCTGGATGGAGACGGATCATTCTGTTCTTCACTGTCACACCATGTACAAACGACTTCTTGTCGTTTAGGAAGTATGTGTCTGGCACCCACAGCTGATCGGCTACCCGGTTATCCAGCGTCAGGTTAAGAGGAATCTCAGAATAGGACAGACGCTTGTCTCGCCAGGCTTGCTGGAAATACATAGTCAGTGTGTAGTCCTGAAAAATAAACCATACACAGAAGAAAGATAAATGGGTTACCAGGTCTAAGGGAAATATCACAACATCAAAGAAAGGAGGGTATATTTTAAAATCTTTTGGGGATTGATATTACATGACTGGCTTTACAATTTGATGATGCAATGTTAAAAGCACAATAGTGCACATCAGGTTAAAAATGAGTGTTAAGGGGCTGAGATCTATAAGGAAAACCCAGGAGACGAGTACAGGTATAATGAGAAAGGAGAGCACACTGAACAAAACAGTATATTAATTAACCTTTTCAATCACTCTTTAAAGACAGAGTTCACCCCAAAATGCCCTCATGTCATTAAAAACCTGCATGCTGATAATTTTGGACTGTCGAATATCTCATTAACCTTCAAAACTGCAATGACACTTTTTGCATAAGCATTTCGAAACACAAAGCATGCATCAAATGTTCCTTATTAAATGTAAAAAATAATAATAATAATAAAATTGCAGCAGACTCAATGCTTTCCTTGATATTCTCAAAAGTGTAAACACTGAGCCTTCCAGGCCCCATCAAAACATTTAGAGTGGTCCACTCCGATCTGTCAGTCTCTTTCCAGCTCAGCCAATAGCGAGAGTTTGGGGCGTGGCTACTGTAGCAGGCTGAGCCAGAGAGTGTTTAGCCATGGCTGACGCGTCACATGAGAAAAGAAACTGAGATTTGGTAAGAGAAATGCATGGTATAATTCAGGTACAACAGTAAAAGAGCTAAACATTTATTGTAAGATAATCTGAACTATTTGCAAATAATATATATTTTTCAAAAATATGCACATTTGTGGTGCAAAGATGGAGTTGTTCAATTGACAATACAGCTTTCCCAACACAAAGATGTTTGTGGTGCTGGCATGGCCTGCTGGTGATGTGTGATGTGTGATGTGATGTGACATGTGGCCAAGTATGGTATATATACAAGATACATGAATGTATTTTATAGTGTTTTAAATAAACGAAACAATGAGTTTTCAACCCCCTTTATGACTGAGTGCAGGTTTGTTGGGGGCATGCATTCTAAGGTTAAACATCTTGTCTGTGAGATTTATAAATAAATTATCTAAAAATAGCACATATGTTAACTTATTTGTTCTTTTGCGGCCTGCTGAAAATCCTTAACCTAACTTGTTTGCTTGTAAATCTCTAACTATGCTACACTATCACCAACACTTGTGTTCAGTCTTTTTGTCACCTTCATTTCTCGCATTTAGCACAGGTTTTGCATTCATTCAATCAATCAGTTCCAAAAAGAAAAAAACAAAGCCTGGGCTAATTGAAAGAAAACAAGTTGATAAAGGATTGAATCCAATATTTGGTAATAATATAGCAGCGTCATACCCTGTGTGAATAAAGTCAATTTTATTCAAGTTTCATTCCAATGAGATAACATTAACTAGAATTTTTGGGAAAAACTAAATTCAAAATGACTCGCAACATGAGGGTTAAAAAAACATTTCAACAATGTCTAAGACTGTGCTAGATTTGACAAAGACACCAAAGCTTTGAAAGAAAGGGCAGGAGTATTGAATATCAAAGTATCGTGTTGTGATTTATGACAGTTCACCCTATAAATGACTAAAGTTAAATGAAGGTAAACGACGTCTCATTTCTTTCTCCTACATGCTGTGCCTGTGTGAAGCATCCGCTAATGTCTTTCTGCATGCACGCTCTGTGCAGTCTATTATTATATGCAGTGGGTGTCAGGTATGAGAGAATATGTGCGCTGATGTATTCATGACCATGCGCTTCGAGCAGCGGGCGTTCTGCATGTCGCTGTGGACGATTTCTAGGTCCTGCTGTTGCCTGAGACGAGCTGTCGTCCACGGGAGCCATTATTATGCAGCCCACCTCTCCCCCAGCCTCATCTATTGATGAAAATGAGATATAACAGAACCCTCTTCACGTCCATGGATCGATACTGATATATTTTGATGAAAAAAAAAGGATAGCAGAATTGAGGAAAATAATGGATATGATATTCGTCTGTGTGTGTTGCTTTTGATGAAAGAACATTTGTTCAGGTCTCATTGCCTCAGTGGCAATGGAACATGTTTGAGGTTGGTGTATGTGTGTGAATGCTTGTGTACACACACACACACAAACACACACACACACAAACACACACACACACACGCACACACACACACAAACACACACACCACCCTTGGACAAGGACACCCCTGAGGAGGCGATATCCCATCTCTACAGGAGTGACCTGCACCGGCGGGGTCCGCATGAGATGATGATGATGATTCATTGACAGACTCTGATGACTGAGTGAGAATTTTTATTTTTTTTAAATAAGTTTAATTTTGTTAACATTGTTAGTTCATGATATGCATTAACTAATGTACTGTAAATACTAAGAAAAGAAAAATAAATATTTTTTTCACATTTCAATTTGTATAAAATAACTACCGCGCTGTTTTATTACCAGTGCCAAGAATTGTTCTTGTGTGCCGACAGATCTAATAGCATGGCATCTCTGTCTCGTTGCCAGAACAAAAACAACTTTTTCGGTAACACTTTTGAATTGGGAACACATATTCACTATTAATTAAGAGTTTTCCCTCAATAACTTCTAATAACTCCTTAATTTGCTGCTTATTAATAGTTAGTAAGGTAGTTGTTAGTTTAGGTATGGGGTAGCATTAAGGATCTAAAATATGCTCATGCAGAATAAGGCATTAATATGTGCTTTATGAGTACTAATAAACAGCCAATATGCTAGTAATATGCATGCTAATAAGCAACTAGTTAATAGTGAGAATTGGACCGTATAATAAAGTGTTACCAATCTTTCTTATAATTATATTGTTATAATATAATTTGTTTTAGCTTGACTGTCCCTGCTCACAGTGTTGGGTAGTAAGTGATTACATGTAATCTGGATTACGTAATTAGATTCCAAAAAAATATGTACTTGTAATTAGATTAAATTACATTTTAAATTACTCATAATCAGACTTCAGTTACTTTTTTTTATCGTTTACATATTATTCACACAAGTCTTTGTCTTTGGAAGGCTTTTGTCTTTCAAACACATTAAAATGTTTATTAAAAGCACAAATTCACGTTATTTCTTATTTACATGTAAAGCAGGGTTTCCCAAACATTATCAAAACACAGTGGCTAAAAACGCCCACAAACAAAAAGCTTGAGGCTGTTATTACCAATATTTAAATAACAGCCTCAAAACAACAATGCCCAGTTTTTCTCTTGTTTGCTAAAGTGCAGAAAGCAGCAGACTGCTGTTTTATTCTCTAGGTAACAAAGAAACCGGCAAGAGACGCTGGCATACAGTATTTAATGCCTTTAGTTCTGTATGTGATGCTTCAAAGGTTTTGTGTGCAACAAAACATCCAGCGCTCTCTAAATATTTTATTAACATGTAAGTTCTCTCTTTCAACCACACCATTTTGCTGTTAAAAAAAGAGAAAAGTTTTGTTTTTATGTATTCCTTAATGTAGTCCTTATGTAGCCTTCCACTGTACAGATTTGAGTATTTCAAGTAGGATTGAATGCTATATCATATGACAAAATGGTAACGCTTTGTAATTTTGAATTATTTGCAAACTAGTAGTTTGTAGTTAATTCTTATTTCATAAATTGAACTCTCTACATCGTTAATACTTTAATAGGCACATGTGAGTACATGTGAGTTCTTCATTGTCATTGTCATTTCCAAATTATCATTGTTAAAGAAATATATGAAAATAGTCAAGTGAATTGATACATTTTTATGCTTAATTAAAGTGTTTGTAAGCATTTTAGCTTAATGCATTTAATGTCTAATAAAGTGTTGTTGCCTTTAATTTAGTATTTCCGTGAGCTAATATAAAGTGAGAAGGATTGAATTCTAATAAACCATTAACAACTACTTTTCGACAAGATGTTAACAAAGGATAATAAAGCATTATCTAACTCTTTACATATTAGATAATTAAACAATAACAATTGGTTAACTACTATGACAGTTAATGAAGAACTCTTTGTAAATATCATTCATTTTTAACAATGCAGGGAGTACAGTTTATTAAAAAAATGAATTAACTAGTTGAATTAATTGGCGATTGAGTTTGGGTCTGTTCCTCGCAGTAATATGGATTACACACTCTTAAAAATAAAGGTGCTTCAAAAGGTTCTTCAAGCGATGCCATAGAAGAACCATTTTTGGTTCCACAAAGAAGCATTCAGTCAAAGGTTCTTTAAAGAACCATCTCTTGCTTACCTTTTTATAATCTGAAGCACCTTCTTTCGCCCCAAAGAAGCTTTTGTGAAACAGAAAGGTTCTTCAGATGTTAAAGGTTCTTTATGGAACCATTTAGACAAAAAGGTTCTTCTATGGCATCGTGAAGCACCTTTATTTTTAAGAGTGCAGTGCACAAATAAAATTAATTTATTTTGTAATTATGTTGTGTTTTTGGTATTTTATGGTTCTACTGTCAGTCACAGCATGTCGGAGAAAACACCTAGTGTGTCCCACAGCAAACAAACTAAATATTACATGATAAGTAATGGTTAAACGATTGCAGAAATGTTACTCAAGGGTTTAAAGTGCCGTTTTGTTTAACTTTATGTAATACAATATAACAGAAATGTTAATGTCGCGATTTCAACATTCATAGGTATTCATTTGTAAGTCTTTAAAGGTGTTAATACGTAAATAATTTACATTTTAGGAGTTGTCAATGCGTCAGTATTGTACGTTTAGATGCTGCAAATATGTCAGTATTGTATGTTATAGTGTCTGTACACACATAAGTAAAATTACGTTTGGTAGAACCACATTTTACGTAAAATACATACGAGTTCTACTGAGATTACGTTGCACATGCAAATGAGGCCTATGCACTTTACCAAAGAACTTGTTTGTTAAAAAGTCAAATAGTACATAAAATTAGTTAAAAAAAATATAGCATAGGTGCTTCGTGGACATAAAGTACACTATACTCACTGCATCTCCTGAGAATATCTGCGGTGCTCAGAAGAGAAGAGAAAGAGTGAACACTCTTCACGTGTACATGCTGTGAGAAGAGAAGCGCTCATGCCTGCTCCTGAACATCTGAACATATACAACAAATCAGACAGCCATCAACGGATTTTCCTCTGTCTGTTCTTCAAAATATAATCTAATATGTATGCAAACGCATGCAACTGTGTCTAAGCAATGAGACTCCTTGTCAAGACAAACAGGTCGCCCGCCACTGCGCAATACCCACATGTGGCGGCTGTGAACAATGTAGCCTATAAATGCAAATTCAAAACTCATCTGTTTAGCTGTGCATTTATTGAATGAGCACTGCAATGTTCGAACTGATTGCACTATATTTTATGTATAATCGTTTTCTATTCTTAACTGTTTTAAATTCGTTTTAAACATCTTAAATACATTTTTTAATCATTTCAATTTTTTTTAATTCCTTGTTTTATTGTTGTGATTTTTTTTCTTTTGTTTATGTAAAGCACTTTGAATTACCATTGTGTATGAAATGTGCTATATAAATAAACTTGCCTTGCCTTGTGTCACGAATCCGATCCATGAATTTCCATCCACTTGCCACCAGAGGTCGCCCTTCCATGATATAGACTCTCGCACCACACAGACTGTTACACATCACCCTGGACTACATTTCCCATGTTCCATTGCACTGATTACACTCACACCTGAAACCAATTACACGCTCACCTGAATGCTATTACACACACTATATAACACCTACCCTGATCCTGCTCTAGTCGCCGCGTATTGTTCTGCATTTTTCACTCCCCAAGTGTTAGCTGCCTTACCGAGCCATTCCGTGTTTTCTGTTTTAGTCTCGTGTATTGTTTTGTGTTTATCCCTGTTTAGCGGATAGCTGCCTTACCGAGCCTGTTTAAGTTTTCATAGATTTCTTAGTCTAGTCTTAGTCTTGCCTTGTCTGTTTTCCTGGTCTCTGATTCACGCCATGTATCTTGGATTAACCCTTTGCTTGCTGTTTCTGACTCTGTTTGCCCCTGCCTGGACCTTTGCCTTCTACCTGGATTCATCTTTTGCCTTGCCTTCGATATACCTGTTTGCCATTGTCTGACCCATGCCTGTTAAAACCACGTCTCTTAATAAAAGCTTGCATATGGGTCCGCATGTCTCTCGTCTCATAACACCTTGCCTTGCCTATTTAATGTGTAAATTAAGGGATATTAAAAACTAAGTAAATAAATAGAAAAAAATACATACGCGCACGCAGTAATGTCATGTTAAGCAGTATTTTAGGTGGTTTGTGTACTTTTAGTGTTTAATAATATTTTTGGTTTTAACCGTATTAACTGCGGTATATAATTTGCAGGCTGCACACGCAGGTGTGTTCAACTGATAAAGTAAATAAACCTTCTTCAATGCTGGCAAAAACAATTAAAAGCAAAAATACCAAATTCCCAGCCTAAAATAAAATAATTAAATAAAAATAGTAAAATAAAATAAAACAATCAATAGAACAAAAAACATTTGTATTTAATTTTATTTAATTTCACTAAAATCTGCATTTTATTATTGGAAATTACAGCTTAAGCAATGTACCATGTGTATATTTATTTAATTAATAATTTTTTCCTTCAAACACATAACACAGTAGTTTTACTAGTTATGAAATGCCCCAAAGAATAAAAACACTACAGCAGATGGCTGCATAGGCAGTGTGGCAACACCAGTGTCACTATTCAATAAGGATTTAATGAGTTAAGACAACCAGAATGATGAAAACACCACGTTCACACTCACACTGTAATTTTCACCTCTGTAACTTACACCAGTCAAAGACACAATTAGGATCTGAAAAACAATCTTTTTTTTTGAC